ATCACTTCCCTTCCCCCCACCTCTGTGTACTTGCTCTCCCTCTGTGGGCACCTAGCTCCCTTGCAGTGTTCCCCTTTCTTTGTATTTGATGAAATTAAGACACATATGCAACATCTGGGTATCTTTATTGTAGACGTTTCGCCATCCAGTGGCTTTATCAATACAAATTCCAGGATATAACTTGAAGATAGAACTATGTACAGAAGATGAGGTAATCAGTCCCTCAACCTAGGAGTAGGTGCGAAGAGCACCGTAGTCTTGGAGATTCTGAAAGATGTTGCACATGTGTCTTAATTTCATCTTGTCGGTATTGTATACCATTCTTGTACATTCTTTGTATTTGACTGGCTCCTCCTCCTTAATTTCCCACTACTACCACTACAACTACTACCACCACTACCTCTTCCTGCCTATATATAGCCGTCCTGCTCTACTTCTGGTTAGTGTGATTTTGTAAATGGTCCAAGTCGGACCGAAACGTCGTCGTAAGCTCCTCTCTTCTATGTGCGGGTTATTTGTGTATCGTTCCAGTCACGGTATTGTGCCTTTTTTTGTTATCTACTTCGGCTGAAAGTTCATTTTGCTCAATGTCTGATGCAGCTGCAGCTTAGTGGGAGAAGAATCTTGGTGCTTCTTTATACAAGAGTCTTCGTTCCCCCGCCCCTTCTTTCCTTTTCTCTCCTCCTTCATTGGCTGGAGGAGGAGAGAACACAATAGACAGGACACTACAATGGGGCTCTTATCTGGTCCCTCATTCTTTCTTCTTGTGCAACATATTTTCATTACAAGTTTGGCTAGTTATCCAATTCCAGACCTTATCACTGTACTGTAACATCCACGTGATATTGAACAAGTGAAAAATACTCCTTCAAGGGACAAACAGTAAGACACGGAATTCACAATCATTATTTTCATTGATTATAAGATGCACAACAGATGTAATTATTTCAATTGACACCCAACTCAGCTGGCAAGCAATCTGCGCACTTGATATACACATCAGAGGTATGAGAATAAGCTCCATTTTACACGTGTAGGCATGCTATGGAACAGATAGATAGGTAAATATATGTCTGTTATGTCATAAGAAGAAAGAGGAATGTCATGAGCGTCTGTTTCATCAGTTTCTCAATGCTCAGTGTTTTAGCTCAGACGTCCGAAGAATGGTGTGAAGGAGTGTAGTATGGGGTGCTGCAGGAAAGTGCCCAGCAGGAGGCAAGTCATGGTTATGGGTCTCCATGAAAAGTTTCCCCCTTGTTATTTATTTTAAAAAAAGAAGGAAGAAAAAAAGGTGGAGGAATGTGGAGGGATAGCTCCCACGAGGAATGAAAGGGATTGTATATCCCCCTCCACCTTTAAGAGGGTCAACAGTTAAGCAAGGAGTGCAGATGCTACGTGGAACCCTTGGCATTCATCCATGTGGTCTCCTCCACCCTTACAGCTGGTGCAAATAACCATAGGAGACCAATTGAGAAAATGAATGAAGAACTAAATAGAACAGCAAGGTGGGAGAAGAAATGGAGAATCACAATCAACCCAGACAAAGTCCTCATCAGCACCATCGGATGTTTGCCATCAACCATAGAAGACAAAGGGGGCATTTCCATCAGAGGCACCCGAATTGCTATTAGGAATCCAAACAACATCCTAGGATACGAAATCGACAGATTACTCAACTCTACATCCCACATAACCAAAAAAGTAAACCTAGCGAAAGCCCACCTAGGCCAACTTTATCGATTCAAAGCAGCTCCTCCCCACATCAGACTACACCTGTACAAGATGATCAGACCTCTGCTGGAATACCCTTGTGTACCCATGTCGCTGACCAAAACCAACATGCTAAAACTCCAAAGAGTCCAAAACAAAGCCCTCCGCTTCATCACTGGCACCAGACTCAGAGGCAGAATCAGGACCGAGGACCTACACATACAACAGAGAACCCCCGCAATCAATGTCCGGTTAGACAAACTTACGAAGAGACAACTATATGACATGCAGGAACTCTCTGTACCTGACAGAGAGAACCCCCCCCCCCAACCAGTGAACACGACCGACTCTACCATCACCACCCCTCCTCACAGATCCCAAAGAATGACCCTCCAACAAAGAGTTCGACGCTTCATCCACAAGGAGAACTTCCCTCGACCGAAAATCTTAAGCGACCTCCCCGCAGAAGAAGAATGGATTCCACCGGAACCATTCTATGTCCAGTAACACGGACTAGCGCTCCCCATCTCCGGGTGACCCACTTCTATCAACCAACACCTCACAACTAACCTTGTTGCACCTACAACTACCCTCCAGCAGGACACCACCTCAGCCACTGCTTAACCAGCCAACTGAAGGTGAGCAACCAACCTCCATCAAATGACCTGCAACTTCCGCCTGCAGCTGCGGCCTTCTGACCAACCTCTTGCGAAAAAAAAAAGCAATTGCACGCAGTATGCATCCTTCCAATTCAATAACGCACTGGTATAACAACAATACAGAGTGTGCAATTGATGCGCAGGAGGTATACCCCACTCATAAAACTAACCTCTTTATAAATTACTCAATATGCACACACGCGTATTCAAAATACACCAAAGTGGATAGGCCACTACCCTTTTATAACCCCACCTTCCCCTCCTCCCTCCCCAACCTTTCCTACATTCCATCCTTACCCATCCTTCTTCCTCCCTCCCATCTTACCAAAGCTCTGGTCAGAACTTCGCACCCTTGGCATAATCTACCGTTCGTGCCTGTAAACCAGCAATTCAGGAGAGCAACCTTACATCCACCAAGCCACCTCGGTGGACAAAAGAGAAGGAGGCCGGAAATCCGCCAAAAGGCATACCTCCATCGGCCACCACATCCCAGAACTACATGCAGCCTCCAGAGATACACCCAACATCCAACGGACACAGCCAACCCTTGGAACTCCAGAGAGGGGATTGGACATCCCCCAGATAATCCAGATTCCACGGCAAACACCACCACCACCAAGGACCTCAATAAAATGGGATTCACATGGATGCCCTTCTCCAACTTAGGAGGTAAATTTTCAGACTGAAAAAACTATTACGCAATTTGCTGCAGTAAAATATTTATATATAAAAAAACGCTCTAAGTCATTTTCCAAGTATTATTCTGAATCCAAACGCGTTTTATTGTCGGTCTGTTAGCGTGGCCAGGACAGGAGCAGATGAGGTGTTTAGTAGTTCAGTATGAGACGGTATGGCCCGGTGGCCTGGTGGCTAAAGCTCCCGCTTCACACACGGAGGGCCCGGGTTCGATTCCCGGCGGGTGGAAACATTTCGACACGTTTCCTTACACCTGTTGTCCTGTTCACCTAGCAGCAAATAGGTATCTGGGTGTTAGTCGACTGGTGTGGGTCGCATCCTGGGGGACAAGATTAAGGACCCCAATGGAAATAAGTTAGACAGTCCTCGATGACGCACTTTCTTGGGTTATCCTGGGTGGCTAACCCTCCGGGGTTAAAAATCCGAACGAAATCTTATCTTATCTATCTCTAGGTGACGGGGTAAAGTCATCATGTTTGGGCGGTAGTGTCAGTAGGTCATTTTGGTAAGTTTTTTAGTGTATACTATAATTTAGTTAGCGTGTATATGCTCTCATGTTTTTTAAGGCTCTAGTGTGTGCAAGGGTCTGTGCTTCGGAGAGTATTTAACGTTTTAACTGTAGGCTAAGTAGCCTGCAGGAAGGAGGGAGGTGTCATGAAACCTCCCGTACATTTTGTTTATTCGCTAGTAGCAGTGCGCTAGCCAGCTGATATGAACTGGAGTAAAGGTGATGTAGTGGAGTAGATTGTAAGTTGTATATAAGTTACTATTATTATATTTAATAATTTTTTGTATTAGGCGAGTTTTTCTTGTCCCTCCATATACTATATAAATTATTTGCATTCATGCTTCATAATTTATATGAGTAAATGCTAGCCCGAGATTTCCTGTGTTTTTCAGTGTGATTTAAATAACCCTAGAAGCAGGTTGAGCAGCCATTTAGGAGCCAGGACACTTTACTTTAAACTACGATATCAAAGTCGTAACAAAAACCCAAAAGGCCAACAGCAGGAAAGGAAGGACAGGGAAGTTGAAAGGACAACAAAGGTAAAGGAAAGATGGGTTAAGAACAGGGAAGGGAAAATGATGTAGAACTCCACAAGTGATGTAGAACTCCACAAGTGATGTAGAACTCCACAAGTGACGTAGAACTCCACAAGTGATGTAGAACTCCACAAGTGACGTAGAACTCCACAAGTGATGTAGAACTCCACAAGTGACGTAGAACTCCACAAGTGACGTAGAACTCCACAAGTGATGTAGAACTCCACAAGTGATGTAGAACTCCACAAGTGATGTAGAACTCCACAAGTGATGTAGAACTCCACAAGTGATGTAGAACTCCACAAGTGATGTAGAACTCCACAAGTGATGTAGAACTCCACAAGTGATGTAGAACTCCACAAGTGATGTAGAACTCCACAAGTGACGTAGAACTCCACAAGTGATGTAGAACTCCACAAGTGATGTAGAACTCCACAAGTGACGTAGAACTCCACAAGTGATGTAGAACTCCACAAGTGACGTAGAACTCCACAAGTGACGTAGAACTCCACAAGTGACGTAGAACTCCACAAGTGATGTAGAACTCCACAAGTGATGTAGAACTCCACAAGTGATGTAGAACTCCACAAGTGATGTAGAACTCCACAAGTGATGTAGAACTCCACAAGTGACGTAGAACTCCACAAGTGATGTAGAACTCCACAAGTGATGTAGAACTCCACAAGTGATGTAGAACTCCACAAGTGATGTAGAACTCCACAAGTGATGTAGAACTCCACAAGTGATGTAGAACTCCACAAGTGATGTAGAACTCCACAAGTGATGTAGAACTCCACAAGTGATGTAGAACTCCACAAGTGATGTAGAACTCCACAAGTGATGTAGAACTCCACAAGTGACGTAGAACTCCACAAGTGACGTAGAACTCCACAAGTGATGTAGAACTCCACAAGTGATGTAGAACTCCACAAGTGATGTAGAACTCCACAAGTGATGTAGAACTCCACAAGTGATGTAGAACTCCACAAGTGATGTAGAACTCCACAAGTGACGTAGAACTCCACAAGTGATGTAGAACTCCACAAGTGACGTAGAACTCCACAAGTGACGTAGAACTCCACAAGTGATGTAGAATTCCACAAGTGATGTAGAACTCCACACGTGATGTAGAACTCCACAAGTGATGTAGAACTCCAGTGATGTAGAACTCCACAAGTGACGTAGAACTCCACAAGTGATGTAGAACTCCACAAGTGATGTAGAACTCCACAAGTGACGTAGAACTCCACAAGTGACGTAGAACTCCACAAGTGACGTAGAACTCCACAAGTGACGTAGAACTCCACAAGTGACGTAGAACTCCACAAGTGACGTAGAACTCCACAAGTGACGTAGATCTCCACAAGTGACGTAGAACTCCACAAGTGATGTAGAACTCCACAAGTGACGTAGAACTCCACAAGTGACGTAGAACTCCACAAGTGATGTAGAACTCCACAAGTGATGTAGAACTCCACACGTGATGTAGAACTCCACAAGTGATGTAGAACTCCAGTGATGTAGAACTCCACAAGTGACGTAGAACTCCACAAGTGATGTAGAACTCCACAAGTGATGTAGAACTCCACAAGTGACGTAGAACTCCACAAGTGACGTAGAACTCCACAAGTGACGTAGAACTCCACAAGTGACGTAGAACTCCACAAGTGACGTAGAACTCCACAAGTGACGTAGAACTCCACAAGTGACGTAGAACTCCACAAGTGACGTAGAACTCCACAAGTGACGTAGAACTCCACACGTGACGTAGAACTCCACACGTGACGTAGAACTCCACAAGTGACGTAGAACTCCACAAGTGACGTAGAACTCCACAAGTGACGCAGAACTCCACAAGTGACGCAGAACTCCACAAGTGACGTAGAACTCCACAAGTGACGTAGAACTCCAAAAGTGACGTAGAACTCCACACGTGACGTAGAACTCCAAAAGTGACGTAGAACTCCATAGGTGACGTAGAACTCCACAGGTGATGTAGAACTCCACAGGTGATGTAGAACTCCACAAGTGATGTAGAACTCCACAAGTGATGTAGAACTCCGCAAGTGATGTAGAACTCCGCAAGTGATGTAGAACTCCACAAGTGATGTAGAACTCCACAAGTGATGTAGAACTCCACAAGTGATGTAGAACTCCACAAGTGATGTAGAACTCCACAAGTGACGTAGAACTCCACAAGTGATGTAGAACTCCACAAGTGATGTAGAACTCCACAAGTGATGTAGAACTCCACATGTGATGTAGAACTCCACAAGTGATGTAGAACTCCACAAGTGACGTAGAACTCCACAAGTGATGTAGAACTCCACAAGTGATGTAGAACTCCACAAGTGATGTAGAACTCCACAAGTGATGTAGAACTCCACAAGTGACGTAGAACTCCACAAGTGATGTAGAACTCCACAAGTGATGTAGAACTCCACATGTGATGTAGAACTCCACAAGTGATGTAGAACTCCACAAGTGATGTAGAACTCCACAAGTGATGTAGAACTCCACAAGTGATGTAGAACTCCACAAGTGACGTAGAACTCCACAAGTGACGTAGAACTCCACAAGTGACGTAGAACTCCACAAGTGATGTAGAACTCCACAAGTGATGTAGAACTCCACAAGTGATGTAGAACTCCACAAGTGATGTAGAACTCCACAAGTGATGTAGAACTCCACAAGTGATGTAGAACTCCACAAGTGATGTAGAACTCCACAAGTGATGTAGAACTCCACAAGTGATGTAGAACTCCACATGTGATGTAGAACTCCACAAGTGATGTAGAACTCCACAAGTGATGTAGAACTCCACAAGTGACGTAGAACTCCACAAGTGATGTAGAACTCCACAAGTGATGTTTGACAATTATAAATATCGAGGATCATCACAAATATAACAATAAAGATCATGAAAAGTACAAGAAAGACAAACATAACAAAGATCATCACAGACATAAAGATCACCACAAACAATAACAAAGATCGTCACAAACAATAACAAAGATCATCACAAGCATAAACATATACAAAGATCATAAATATAAACAAAGATCATCACAAACATAAACATCATAAACATTAAGATCACAAACATAACAAAGATCACCACATATATAACGCTGATCTCATCAATTATAAACAACTCTCTCATCTATGTTCATTTATAGTAGTCAATGATTACATTTAACAATAGCACAAAGCATTTAATTTGGGTTACTATTTTTGTTTACCTCTATGATTGTGAAGGGGAGTTGAACTCTATTTCTAGGCCACTCCTCTTCCAAGGAACTCACATGAATTAGTCCTGTCGTAAATATTTGGGATATCATGTATATAGAGTCCAATTTCTCTGCCGGTTTTCAGCTAATTCCACTTTTGCTCCACTTTTTTATATCGTGATGTTAATCTTCATGAATGAGAAGCCTAACTCACATTGTCAGCTGTTTGCTAATTCTCAGTTCTGCTCTAGTCTTCAAGTGCTTTGCACTTTCTCAATAACCTGCTAATCTCAGTTCCGGCGCTGGTCTTGATGCACCATTTCCTACTTCCTCAACAGCTTGTTTATCAACTGTACTCCTGTAGATAAGCCTGCCTTTGATTTTCTTTCCCATATCTTATTTCTGATATTTATCTAAGTTTTCCTGTAGCCATCTTTTATCCTCGTCAGTTTATATTATACTTATTTTATTACATTATTTACAAACAAGGGTTTGTAGAAGTTAATCCCTGTACTCCGGTTATTCACATATATTAGCAGCAAAATGGGTTCTTTGGGGACTTCGAATCACTACACTCTCCCTGTACATTACGAGCAACATAGGTCCCAGTACCAGT